TGTGTGTGTGTGTGTAAATGTGTTGTGTGTGTGGTCTATGTGTGTGAGTACACACACAGGGCAGGACAGCAGGGGTCTTTCTCTTGCCCTGACACCTTGTTGTTTCAAGGCAGGGTCTCTTACTGAAGGGGAAACTTACCATTTCCGATAGGCTGGCTGGCCTGCAAACTCTTGGAACCTGCCTGTCCCCACCCCTCAATTTTGGGGTTACAGGAATACACAGTTATGCCTAGCTTTCTACATGGGTGCTGGGGATTCAAACTCAGGGCCTTGCAGCCTTGCAGGCTCAGCCACTGGGTGATTCCCAACCCCCTGAAGGGTTGCTGCTTTTGACAATTCAAAGCAGATTTGCTTTCAGTTACTAAATATACTCAGCCTCCCTGGCAGTCTAAGAATGCAAATGAAATACTGAGCTACATTCTTTTGCTATTGAAAATCTTACATATTATACAATGGGTCTCAAGTGCCTGTGTTCTCTCATATGACAGCTACCACGGGCACATGCTGCTGGTTAGATGTTCTTAATTTTAGTACGTAAAGTCCAACTGCGCAGTGTAGCTCTTAGTTCAAAAAGAACGCAATGTTTAAGGGTGAGCCAATAACATTAATCGATAGGAACACCTTCATTTTCTTTAACTCATTTTCACTAGTTTAAGTTCTACCAATCTAACACAGTGGTTTCAAGAGGAAAGAAGATGTGTGTGTATTCATATATAAACATAGACATACGAATTGTTGTAAGACCTACGCATTTGTTCACATTTGCTAGCATATCACAGAAAGACTTTAAAAGAAGATGAATGTAACGTTTTGGAAGAGCACGCCTGTGGTGCTGTACAGGAGGGAAATGGTTGAGCCAGTGACTAGTGCGTGCCGTCAAATGCCCCATACCTGCTGCGGGCATCGAAGTCCCTCCAGGAAATTATTGGTGATGTGTGTTACTCATTGGGAAAAGCCGATGTTGCAATAATATGAACAACATGTACTGTCTTCTAGATTTGAGTCACTTTATAAAAGGGGCTTCAGAGGGGGTGAAGGGCAATGGCATGCTCGAGATGAAGGGGAAGGAAGAGTTACTCGGAGCAGAAGCGTGTTACAGAGCAGAACTGGCCCAGGGCGGTGGGGTTGGGGAGGGCATCTGAACTGAACTGGTACATTTTTGTCATTATTTCCTCGATACTGTATTTATAGACCGTTTATATGATAGTAGATATTACAAATTTAAAAATCAATGGCAGTCACTTTATTGAGATGTGATCCACATATAAATTGCTGCATCTATTTAATATATGTCTCTATATATGGACCCATGTCTATAATACGTACATAGACAGCTGTTTGAGATAGATGTGTGTCTGTAAAGCCGTCACACCACTGAGACCATGAGCATAGATACCATTGCCTCCCCAGAGTTCTTTCTGTCCCCTTTATGGTCACTGTTGTGGGGGAAATGCCCGAGATAATCAACTCATAAAGAAAAATGTTTATTTTGACTTCCAGCTTTGGCAGTTCTGAATTCTGAACTCTTGGCCTGAATCTTTTAGGCCAGTGCTAAGACAACATCACAGCAAGGAGTGTGCCACAGGGAAGCTGTCACCTCATGGCCAGGAAGCAAAAAGAGGAAGAAGCCAGGGTCTCAATGTCCCCTTGACAGGCGCACTCTGAGTGGTTCAACTTCCTCCAACTAGGCCCCATTTCTCAAGCCTTCCAATATCTTGTCAGCTGTGGTAACATGTTCGTAATCTCCAGGGGCCTCATAGATCCGAGGTCTCACTACAGTTTGGGCATAGGTAATAGCAAGACCCTGTCTCTGAAAGAGAAAGACAGACATCATGTCTTAAAATGTGCACTTTCTTTATATTTCAAGACAGAGGGCAGGCAGCTGACACCTAACAGCCCCATGTGGGGAGGGAGTGTGGAGACCAGTGGTTGAGAGATAATGTAGGCTTATGTCAGCTGCCTCTGTATCTGTTGGGGTTATTTACATGCCTTACAATGTTCAGCAGGACTTTCAAAATAGAGAAGACACAGGTTCCTTCCTCTTCCTGGGTTCTCTTCGCCACCTCCTCACTCCATCTCAGTGCCTGAGCTTACAGAGTCCTGGCCCGGGCCTCTCTCAGTCTTCTCACCTCACAGAAGTGTGCGCCACCTGGACCTCCCTCAGCAGCCCCCAGCTTCCTGTTGGGAGGTCCTGAGGGGGAGTTGTTGGGGCACCCCCACCCTTGAAGGCTGGCTGCCCCTCTACATGGCTTCCTAACAGCAAATGAGAACGCTCAGGACCGTCTCCTCTATCAACGCCCCCTTCTTTCTGTCCTGGGGTCCCCACCGGCTTCCTTCCCACCTCTGCCGCGTCCAGCTTCTTGATGTGGGCTAGCTTTGCCAGCTCCCCCATCTAGTCACCAGTTTGTGTACCTACATCCCGGTTTCTGGCTTACCTCATGAGCCATTTCTTGAACCAGTGTGCACTGTTACCATGACTTTCCTTGGGCTTATTTCATTATTCCTGAGGCTCTCCCCGGCTCCCCCTTAGCTTGCCCTTCCTCATAACCAAACCTGCTCCTCCGACCACCACAAACCTCTTCTGTTAGCCTGACCACACATCCTAGGTTTCCTGAGTTGGTCTCTCTGTCTACTTTTCCACACAGTTCTATGGAGTGCTATGTTGATGACTCGGACCCAAGTTATGTTACCCAAAGATGCCCAGGTTATGTTACCCAAAGATGCCCATGTACTTGACCACATTTAGAAATCTCATCTTCCACTGACTAGCACAAAAAAAAAAAAAAAAAAAAACCCTCACTACTGGTCAAAGTGCAGAGGCTGAGTA